CTGGGCCTATGGTGTGAGTAGCACCACTAACAACCTCTGAGTCATTTTCAAATCATTCTTTGATAGAGTGAAGAATAGCTTCTGACTTTTGTTGAGATGACTGATCCATATTAATCTCCTTGTCAAACAGTCATTTAGCTATACCATTAGTGATCTCACTTTTTATAATACATACTGACAGATTAAGAATTTTGTCAGTCTTTAGGTTCTGGTTCCTTTTTTGCTTAACATTTCTGACTTCAAGTAATTTCTCTCTTGTTACAGTTTACTATATGCAGTCAGGAGGAGCCACAGTATGTCTTTAATACATTGCTTAGAAATTTCCTCAGCTTGGGCTGGGGATTTAGCTCAGTGGCGCCTCGCCTGCCTTGCAAGCGCAAGGTCCTGAGTTCAATCCCAGTACTGCAAAAAGGAAAGAAAAGAAAGGAAGGAAGAAATTTCCTCAGCTCAATATCCAGTTTCATCACTTGAAATCCTACCTTCCTCAAAATACTAGAACACAAACAATGCAGCCAAGTTCTCTGTCACTGTGTAGCAATAATCACCTTTCCTCAAATTCCCAATAGCATATTCCTTGTTTCCATCTGAAACCCCACCAGAATGGCCTTTACCATCCATATTTATACCAACATTCTCTTCAGCATTACTTAGGTGTCAACTAAGAAGTTTAAGCTTCGTCTCTAACAGCACTCTCTAAGCACTTACCAGAATCTCCCTTAAAGTTCCACTAACAACAACATAGGCTTTTTTTTTTTTTTAGCACATGTCTTTAAACTCTCCTGGCCTCTCTTCACTACCCTGTTCCAAAACTGCTTTCACATTTTTAGGTATTTGTTACAATAGCATCCAACACTCAGCATCCAACACTATCAATTTCTGGGCCATTAGGGTTGCTAACACGAATACCACAGACTGGGTGGCTTCTAAACACTACATATTTGAACTGACCGTTCAAATGAATCATGAATCAGTCAATTTCCAAAGGCTCCTCCTCCTGGTATCATCACATTGGAGGTTCGAATGTCACCATGTGAATTTGGGGAAGAACAGAAATATTCAGCCCATAACATAACTCAAAAGTCTTCTGAAGACAGCTGACATCTTTCCCCAAGTCTTAGTTTAGACATCAAATGGAGGAAATATAGTAGAAGGCAAAGTAGCAGGGGTTGAGGGGAAGAAGAAATTTTGGAGACAACCAGCCCTGAGTTCCAGACTGTTTCTTTTCACATTTCTTAAAATGTGGCCTTGGACAATCTGATGAATTTTGAACTCTGAAAATTTAAGCATAAATATCTACCTACTTGGCTCTTTTTGAGATCCAAATGGAGCCATGTAAAACAAGTAAAGAAAGCTTCTTTCGTCCTGCCCAACAATCTACAGGCCCTGCAGAAATGAATGTTATAGATGGTTGCTTCCCCTGAATCTGGCTTTCTTGTTCTCAGTTTGGGAGATTTCCTCCATGCTCTTTAGCTGAGAGATCAGCTGGAATGAAAGATAGACCACGTCAGAGAGCCACCTGTCATTTCTATGTGTTGGTTTGAGATGCCCAGTGGGAAGAAGGAGTTGGATGAGGATTAGTGGGTACAGAGGACAAATCAAAGGTATAAAAAAATACATCCAGTTAGTGATTAGAAAATGCTATCAGGCTAAGGACTCATCACCCACATCACTATATGCATTTTTAAAATCAATTTCCTTTTAGTGTTGAACACTTGCCATGTGCAAAGTATGTACTATGGCAGAATACAAAGACATAAAGAGATTACCAGATAGCTGGAGAGGCAATAACAAAGTCTTAAAAAGTTGAATGACAGTATAAAACTGTAAGCACTTCTACATAATGGATATAAATAAAAGGCCTGTGAATTTTGTGGTTTACTTGCTTGGGTTTGGCTAAGTAAGAGACATTGTACCAGTAATCTGGAAATTAAGGTCAAGAGACATTAAAATTTCAGGGGGTTTTTTCCAACTGTAAGAGGCCATTCAGTGGTAATAATGTGTTCAAAATCTGTTCTTGAACCTTAAGAATGGATGGTGTTGGAAATATTCAAGTAATAAAGGAAAGATATTTGTAGGGAAGTTGTATCCAAGAAGTTTTTAATAGAACAGCATCACAATGGCCAAACACTACCAGGGGAAAATAAAAAACATATGTGGAGCGTACATTTGTAGAAATAAGATTACTGATAATGGTAGTTGAGGAAACCCAGGTGTACTAAGTTGAACAGTATCAACCAACAATCCACGTCTTTCCTAGAACCCAAGAATCTGACCTTATTTGTACAAATGGTTGTCACAGATGCAACTAGTTTAGATAAGGTTATACTGGAGTAGGGTGGGCCCCTTATCCAATATAACTCAGTCTCTGTAGGAAGAGAAAAAAGAGATAGACGTGCACGGAGCACATGCCATGTGGAGGCACAGAAACCCAGGAGAATGTTGTGTGATGAAGTAGAGACAATGCATCTAAAGCCAAAGAATGCCAAGGATTGTTAGCGGCATCAAAAGTTGAGGGGAAAGCCTGGAACAACTTTTCCCCTAAAGCCTTCAAGGAGAATATGGCTCTCCTAACATCTTGATTTTGGACTTCTAACCTTCAAAACTGTGAGACAATAAATGTCTACTCTTTTAAGCTACCCAGCTTGTTACTACTCTGTTATGGAAAACTTAAGAAACGTATGTCAGGCTATCGTGTCCCTGTAGACCTCCTAGTTTCTACTAACAGGTGCACTTACAACTCTCTAGACATCTCTGAATTTGATCTTAGTCCTATCTTTGATTCTCCTTCTACAGTGACACCCTGAGATTTCTAGCCCATCCCCAAATTTTCTTTTACCAAAAGACTTCTTCCACCGTTAAGAAGTCTGGTTGACTGAAATGTGGACTCACTGCTTCAGTATCAGAGAGTGGTGACATTTTTGGTAGGTGTGCATCCATGAGACAATCACTGCAAAGACTGAGTCACTTTCCACAACTGATTCTCTGGGTAAAGTTTTTAAAGGGGGTAAGGCTTCCACCAGAACCAGCCCTGCAGAGCCCTGAATCCTTGGCTGGCAAAGACCAGATAGTTGTGTCCACCCCAGGGCATAGTATGGCCCTGACAGAATGATAAAATGCTCAGTAGCTCTCTGGGTCTTAATTTGCTGCTAGTTTCAACCCCAGGGAAATTTCTCCATAAATAGTGTTTTTGGTTCCCTGGAAAATTATTGAGTTTGACTCATTCTGTAGCTCACATTTGAGAGAATCCAGGAACTGTCTTCATATTTTGTTATAGAAGGCCTAGGTTGGTACTTTGGAAGAAATCTTTCATGGAATCCTCCTTCATTTGACTTGATGGACTTAGCCTACCACCGTGATCCTACTGAGCTGTGCCTAGAAATGCGAAGTTGTACAATAAGAGCCTCCTGATCCCCAATATATGATCTATTGGTTGGCATCCTTAGAATTAGAAGACACTACTGATGCTGACTACATCTATTGGCACAAAAGTAATTGGGTTGGGATACTGTATGTATAGAGCCATGTGTCCAACGCAGTAGCTACTATCTGCACGTCTACTTAAATTTAAATTTTGATTATTTAAAATTGAGTTCATTAGTCATATGGCCACTTTTCAAGTACTCAGTAGCCACACGTGACTATGTTGGAGAGTACAAAGAGAGAATATCTCCATCAGAGCAGTAGGTTCTCTTGGACAGGGCTGGTATAGAGTTATTTGCCTTCCCAAGCTTTCCAACACATAAGTTCTCTTCCCCTTTTTTACTAAGTATAACTTTCCTAAGATAAATACTGAGACTACACCAACTGCATAATAAGAGGAGATAGGATTTTATTCACTTACTATTAGAGATAATAAAAGATGTCTGTTTCTAAAAAGAGGAATGTTTCCCAAATGTTAATGTAGATATGAATCTCCTAGGGATCTTATGAAACTGTAGGTTCTGATTCAGCAGGCCTGGGTAGGGGCTGTAATTCTGCTTCAGGTGACTCATGAATTTGACCTTATTGCTGCACAAAAGGTCAGGGGAATAAATGAACCAAAAAAACTTTACACCAAAAGACTAAGGCTGAAGGCAAGCTGAAGGCAATATTCTCATGTCTGACCATCAGAAAAGTGAGACCAGCCTTCCCCACCCCACTTCTTGAGTGTGTATGACATAGCAAAGCAAAGATAAGCTATCAAGTCCAGCTGAGTTAAGGCTGAACTCTGGAGCCACACTGCCCAGATCTGATGCTTGACTCCATCACTTCCTGGCTCTGTGTCCTGATGCAAATTATCACTAAGTCTCAGTTTTCCTGTCTGGAAAAGAGGAATAATGCTAGTATATTTTTTTTTCACAGAGTAAGTGCAAGGCCTCGGTGCAGTATAGCTACATCAGCAGCTATAAAATGGTTAAAATAATGCCTGGCATATTGTAAGCATTGTATGTAGTAGTTAAATCAATAAGTGAATGCTGCATTCTGCTTCTAGACAAATACATATGGTTTATTCAAGATTAGGCCAGGTGTATATCATTCAACTCTAATGATAATCCTCTAATTCTGCTAATTGCTCTTCTGTGGATTAAAGAAGGTGCAGGAGGTATGAGGCAATGTCTTTGATGAAACGTTGGATTCACGAAGCATCCTGGGTTTTGATAAAAGTAAAAGTATGATGGCATTGAAAGGTGGGCTTATAATTGACAGAAGTGGTCCATGGAGGCCCAGTCAATGGTGCCGTTGCATTTCCTGAAGATAGCAGCTGCTTGATGTCACCTGGTGACCTTCACCAAGTGCTACCTACCCTTTTGCATGCCTCCTTTAAGGGAAAATTTTCCTATTGGTTGTGATTGATATACAAGTCTACATGTGGAATTTGCAAGCTTTATAGAACCCATAATTTAAACATGAGATGTTTTCCTTCCATTTGTGGCAACAAAATCTATTTGAGTTATTGAGAAGAATTTGTCACAGGCTTTTGCCTGATATTGATCGTTTTTTAAAAACTTCTCACCCCAAAGCAAAGAGCCCAGCCAGCAGCGAGTAAAAAGATGGGGCTTCTCTTTCGACGAGATATTGAAGGACCAGGTGGGGCGGGACCAGTTCCTACGATTCCTGGAGTCTGAATTCAGTTCAGAAAACCTCAGGTAAATTCTTCCAAGGTTGAAACTATGCAGAATGTGTGTGAAGGAATTTGTAAAATCAGTCTTTCCACCTCTATTTCTCAATAAGATGTTATTAGGGTTCAAATTCAAATTCCGACTAATCTGGCTAAGGTTGAAATGAAGAACAAATTAAAATAGGTAACTTTGTCACCACCTACACTAGCACCTACACCAACATTGGCATCTTTTTTTGTTGTTGTTCTTTAAGTCTGAATGACATTTTTTCAACTACCTGGAGAGATGCTTTTGATAATAATTAAATAGTCAAATGGATTTGATGACACCATTCATTAAGTAAAACCAGAGAACCATGGAATTTCTGAGTGGAGCAGCAGCTCACAGATCTCTTCTCTCAGACTCTCTTCTCAGTCTGGGACCCTGAATCTCTGAAAGGTGAAACAGAAGAGAAAAGAGTCAATGGAGTCATTTCAGAATTCTAAAAAGCCATAGTAAATATCATTTGATAACTGGAGACAGAATGATAGGAGGTATGATCGAACTATACAGTGAATGTTTAAACTTAAAAACATAATTACAACAAAAATCACATTACCATTAATCCCCCTCAAAACACTCCCCTTTTCTTTGAACACACTCATCCTATCATTCTTGCCACTTTCTGAAGGAGTTTCTGGAAGTTCTCTTGTATGAATGTCTTTAAGAGGTATGCTAAAAATATAGATAGATAGATAGATAGATAGATAGATAGATAGATAGATAGACAGATAGATAGATAAATAGATTCAATGCTTCTGCCCAGTGCCATCCAAGAAATAGGCAAGCTTATGAAAAAAAATGCAGTGTGTCCTCATCCACCTTGTTCACCAGTTCTGGCACTGTGCAACCTCTGTTTCGTCCCCCAAAGTCAAAAAGACTATGAAAGCTAAACAATTTGAATCATTTCAGGACATTGAGGCAAGCACAACAGCACAACTAAAGATACTCACAGAAGAAGACTTCCAGAACTGCTCCAGAAAATGGCAAGAACAATAAGTGTGTTCAAAGTGAAGGAAAGTGTTTTGAGAGGGGTTAATGGCAATGTGTGTTTTACTGCAATCCATTTTTTTAAATTTAAACATTCACCATATTTTTCAGTCACACCTTATTCAAGCTAATTAAAACATGCTTTTTTTTTTTTTCCTGTGGGGGAGAATTCTATCAACTCCAGGTGGTGATTATTCTAATCCTCTGATACCAGAGAGAACATCTGATTGTTTCTGTTGGTCTCTGTGCTTTATGGGGGAAATGTATTAATAATTACTATTTAATAGGGGGAAGAACACTCAAAATATGGGGTCCAATATGAGAGGAAAAGAAGGAGATATATTAAAGGAAAGAGTTCTTGGTCATAAAAAATTAGAGAATTTTGGGTTTATTTTGTCATTTATTGTGCTAGATGAAGAATCAGAGACTCATGGAAATGTGACCTATCTAAGACCTCCCAGAGATCTTAGCAAACTGGTGACTACCAAGGATAAGAGGAAAATATCTCTGTCTCTCTCTCTCTCTCTCTCTCTCTCTCTCTGTGTCTCTCTCTTTTTTCTCCTTGCATCAGGTTCTATTTTATTTATTGAATTCCCATATTCTAGAGCTATTTTCTGAAAGAGTTTTAATAATTTTTAAATTTTTTTACCTTCAAAAATTAGATTATACCTGGGCATAGTGACATATTTCTGTATTTCTAGCACTTGGGAGACTGAGGCAGGAGGTTCGTAAGTTTGAGGGCTGCCTAGACCACATGGCAAAACCCTGTCTCAAAGAAATGAAAAAATCATACCAGATACTTCATGCAAAGTACTATCCTCTCCAATGTTAATGTGCAAAATCCATGTTGTACTTTTGAAGGAAGAGACCACCTCAATTCCATACATGATCAAGTGATGTTTGTGATGCACTATGCAGTACCAAGTCGAGATTCATGATCTTTGCTGCAATGACCCTGTGAGTCCTTGAGGGAAAAAATGCAAGAAACAATTAAATCTGTAATTGGGTATAAGTAAGTGTAAACTCTAAAACCATTCTGCAAGTATTTAAAGGAGGGAGGAATCAATGTTAAGCCAGAGTGGGCAAATCATCAGCTAGACTTTGAAAGGTACACAAGACATTGGCAGACCAAGAAGAAGCAGAGAGAATATTCTAAGCTGGGAGACTGAATTAGTCAAAGGGAGCAATGTGATTGTCCCACACTGTGAAGTTCCAGGAAGATATGTAGATCCCAACCAACCATATGTATTGATGCCTTTCTAGGCATCCCTGCATCTATTATAAACCAGGCCAGGTTGAATACCTTATTTTCAGGCTATAACAGAGTTAGGTGTTATTCTAACCACATATCAGAGCCTTGCTTCAATTCCTAATGAAGTATTTCTAACAGAAGACTTGACCTCTAATTCTCTCCACTAGAGTGACACTCAGAACAGCCTCCCAGGCTGCGTGGGAAGCAAAGCCCTCTGTGGCCAGCTTGATGCCCCCAGAAGGCACCACTGTATGGCCAGCTCAATCCCAGATTCCACTCCCAGCACAGTCCCCAGGAGCCACACCTAGGAGTCCTCATCCCTATCCCCTTTGATCCCCAAGATGGAGTGGTATAATGGCCCCTTTACCTGACTATTTCCCAGCCCATAAGTGGACTCAAGACCCTGTGCCACCTGCAGTCTTACAGAGGGTTTCAAGAATGACCACAGGGTCCTAGTCATTGTGAGGTCCCAAGAGTGTCTACTTGTTCAGGCTGCTGCTGCTCTGCCCAAACTGGAGCAATCATTCCAGAAAGCTAGAGTGTATCCAGGGCCACATATCAAATCAGACTAGTTTCACAAAATATGCATGACACTTCGGGCACCGAGTGCACTGAGCAGTGTGTCCCTGGCAGGTGTTCAACAGTTCCTCCTGCCATTACCACTTTTGCCTTTGCCAGCCCCTTCCCTGGTGCCAGGAGGGCTACATTTCACCTTGGGTGAAAGAATGTGAATGTGCCCCCAGCATGCGTACATAAATCCAGACTTAAAGAGAGTCCCCTCTGACCCATGACAGAAAAGAGGATAAAGAAAATGGAATAGCAGAAAGAGAAGTATAGCCCAAGAGCTTCTAAAATCCTCTCTGGAGGCCAAATTCCATTTTTATGATATTCAGCGTAATTAGGCACAGAGAGGCAAGCTCAGTTTTAAGTCACACAACTTTAGGACCCTTTGGTCACTAGACACAAGTAGCTGCTTCCCTTCCCCCCCGTGTCCATTCCTTTGGCCACAGATACTGGCTCAGCACCTGCCATGACCCAGATCTCAAGGATTCAGAGCTGACCACATTTTACACCTTGCCAGGGGGACAATGTGTGGCCAGGCAGACACACCTCCACCGTGGTCTGTGTGCACAGTGGCTCCTGAGAGTTGTACGATGTGGCACAACTTGAGGATCCTGCCCATCTGCTGAACTGGCCATTGCATTAGTCAGGCTTGTGTCACGGTGACCAAATACCAGAGAAAGTCAATGTAGAAGAAAGATTTATTTTGGCTCATAGTTTCAGTCCATGATAAGCTGGCTCCATTTCTTTTAAGCCCATGACAGGGCAAAAACATCATGATGGCAGTAAAGGGATAGTGTAGGAAAGCTGCTGAGCCACAGAGGACTGGGCTGGGGACCAGATATAGTCCCCATGGCCACACCCCCATGATCCACTTCCTTCAACTAGGGCCCGCCTCCTCATTTCCATCACCTCCCAATGATGCCATCAAAGGATGATCTCATCAGTGGAGTTAGAGCCTTCATGATCCGCCTTCGAAAAGCCCTGCCTCTGAGCACAGTATACTTGAGGGGGGACATTTTAGATCTAAACCAAAACAGTTGTGCTTAAGTCCTCATCCCTTCTATCCAGGACTGATCAAGAGCCCAGGCGACGGGCATCCAACAAGACAGGAAAGAAGAGAGACTGACCAGAGCCCCACTGGGCACACTACAGAATGCCTGCACCCTTCCGTCTTCCCATCTCCCCGGATCCCTCTAGCAGAAAGCATGCTTATATCTTAACACTTTGCTGATTAAGTGGCCAAGTAGCTACATTTAAGCCAGAGCTTCAGAATGAGAAGCAGAGGAGCCCCAAAGTGTCACCTAGGTCTTTTAAAGAAAGAGATCTATGATGATATAATGTGATGGAAAGTCCTTTCTGATCATTTTGTTCTGGGTGAGTCTGTGAGATGAGTGAAAGCTGTCACCTCCAGATGACAGGGAGAGGGCATGGCCACCAGCATACCTGCTGTGGCCATCTGTGGCAGGGGCAGCCTCTCTTTTCCTTTTCTAACTCACCTAGAGCTGAGTCCAGGGCTCCATTCATACTGGGTGGACCCGTGGAGACAGCTGTATGCTGGGCACTGTTGGAATTTAATTAGCTTCTCACCCACCAGGAAGAAGTCCTATAGTTCAGAAGCGGGGAGTGCCAGAGAGCTGATGACCTCATCCTTCCTGTTCTGTGCATTTGCCAGAATAGTGACTGTCACCCCTTACCACCTGCCCTCACCTCCACCCACTTCCCTATGCAAATCTCTGTACTCCTCGGCTTGACACCTTCTGCTGCATGGCAGGGAATGAGTTAAAAATCAAAACCTGCAGCAAAGAGCATCCCCTGTACATTTTTTATGAGCTGTAACATCTCCTGAGAGAATGTAGTTGTTCTTCTAACCTGCAGATTGATGATGCGAGTTGTACACCATGTCAGCTGAAGGGAGAAGCAATTAAAAGAGAGCATGGTGTGTGTGGGGGGGGGTGCTGCCAGTTTTGCCTGAGAGCTCTCTCCTAGCATTGCCCTGAGTCCTAGGAGACCTCAGAAGGTTCATCAGGCCCTGTGGGATCCCTCTCTAACCAAACACATGATGAATCAGGACCAAGCAACTCCCAGAAAACTTGTGACAATCTGCAGCAGTTCAGCCACCCCCTGGGGCACTCAGCCCAGCTTCTGCAGTGTTGATGGTGGTTGCTAATAGAGGGACCAGAGAATTTCAGCCCAAGCAGGCACCAGCATCGTTTAGTCTATTGTTCTGAGTCTCTGGCTGACCAGCAGAGGGCACAGAAACACTTTCTTCTGCCACAGAGTTTGCTTTTCTCTGAGAATGAACCCGAAGCTGTATTTTCTAACCCTTAAAGATCCTAGTTTGTGAAAGATGGGTAAGCTGGTAACTGAGGGGCTGCCTGGACCTCCAGACAGCCTGAAAAATGACCAGTGGCTCACGATTTCTCTCGTTCCAACCAGCCTCAAGGAGCGAACCCTACTCCCCTCATCAGAAGCCTGGAAGAAATGAGGCCACCTAAGGCAGCCCTGGGACCGCCCTCGAGTCCCAGCCATTCACTGTTCATCATGGCTTTGCTCCAGTGGCTTCTGAGCCCCACTGCCCTCCCCCAAGGCCAGTTTCCGGGCCTGCCTTCATTTCCAAGCCATTACCACCTGTCAGATGCAGGCACATGGGCTGCCTGCCTCCTGCTGTTCTAATGATTGGCAGCAATTTGGGGTGAGGCAGGACAGGTGGTCCCCCCACCACCACCGATACCCTGGAGCCTTGGACCTGCCAGTCATTGTGACCCTCTGCTGCCAGCACAGGGGCTTAGTGCAGGATGGGTGAATTTGACGCTGCTGCTGGCATCTGACTTCCCACCGCATCCTCAGAAGAGCAGTACCTGCAGGCTTTTGATAAGAGCAGCTGCTTTGAAAGCTTCAATGGGCCTCTCTTCTGCAGTAGAGGTGTAGAGCCACTTTTGTGGCTGCTTGGTGAGAGGTGAGAGTGTGGCCTGAGCTCTATGGGACTGGAAGTTGGCAAATACAAACTGAAACCTGTTCTGAATTTCCAAATGATGCAAGGGATCTTCGAAGCTGGGATAGTAAACACAAATGGGATGTCAGGATGTTATTGTGACAGAATTTTTTCTATCACCTGGGAAAGACAAGGCAGGTCATCTCCAAGGCTGACAGGAGGCTGTGTGTGTGCAGGAAAAGAAACTGTGGTGGGAGGAGAGTCCCCTGCCCTGCCCCTCCCCCACTCTCCTCCTCCTTGCCCCTCAGCCTCCTGTCACCTCCTCATCTGACCTGTCTACCGTTTCCTCTTGTGCTTTTTTTTTTAATTCTTCATTTTACCCTATGGAGGGAACCTTTTTATGGTAAGTTATTAAGCTTGATTTTGAAGCTTGCATCAACATCAGCTCTAGACCTTCTCTTTAGCCAGCTGAGTGATATGCTTTAATGCAGCTCCCAAAGCAAAAGGAATCTGGAAGCCTCAGGAACCACAGAGAACCTGTGGAGCCCAGAAGCTGCAGGGGCCTTTAGGGCCTTCTGTGGTGGAGCAAGGGACAGAGAGGACAGAAGGTGACATCTCACATGACAGTGATGGAGGAAGCAAGAAATCACCCATGTGTCATTCATTTGAGTGAGGAATTGCAGCAACGTGGTAGGCTGGGAAAGATGCTGGACCAGAAAGTTCCTTGCAGCCAGGAATTCAGCCCCTCTGAGGCAACTCCCAGGGCAGGGGTTGTGTGTGCACTTGTGGAAGACTCGCTGACTTAGACTTTGGTAAGTTCCCCCTTAGCACCCCTTCCAGTCCTTCTTTGTGCAGAGCTGGGCTTTTTGACATTGTCCACCTGCCCCTCAGACACGTCTTGCAGGCAGAGAATGCCCTGCAGGTGTCTCATAGCCAGATGACCTTCTCCGCCTCTTCACCTCATGGCAGACCTTAGAGGCAGACAGAGAGCCCTGAGCACACCAAGGAAAGGGGCCAAGAGACAGAGGAGATGGGGGCATTTCAAGGGCTGATTTGTGCAGTCTGACAGGTTAACATTCCTTTCAAAGCCCTCGGGACGCTGGTTAAAGAATCACTACTCTTCTCCTTGCCCCTGGCAGCCTGGAGCCCCAAGGACCTGTGGTAGAAAGAAAGAGGACTAATGTTGAAGGGCAGGTGATGGAATGTGGCATTAGCAAGAGCCCTGGTCTTTTCTGTTCCAGCCGCTGGAGGAGAAAGAGATGAAATTTGAGGGGGCAGACTGGGCAGTATTGAGCCTGTGGCTGCCACTCCAACTTGCCCCTCCACTTCCCACCCAGCGGTATTGCAGAGTCAAGTGTGGAGGGGAAGTTTTTCAGACCTGTGTCATATCTCCCTCTAGCCACTTTGTGCCTGTTTCACAGATGAAGAAAGATACACCTAAAAAGCACAGCAGTTCAAGACAACACAAACCACAGCCAGGATGAGGATAGACTGCACCTCCTATTCTTCTGATCTAGTGGCAGTCTCTCCTTCCTGGCCTTTGTCTTGGCTCTTTGCGACCAGTGAGGGAATCATGAGAGTTTTCTTTAGGAAGATCATTAGAATCCTAAAGGGCAAATCAGAGGAAGGGCTGGAGCTCAGCATTTCAGAAACAGTGGGGACACGCCTCTCCTTGTGATAATGGGGCTCCATTACCGCAGTCTGCCACTGAGTGGTGCCTTTGAGCCATGCACTTGGTTCCACGGGCACTGAAGAGCAACAGAAAAACATGCTTAACTTTTTTCTTTTTAAACAACAACAACAAAAGCAAGCAAACAAACAAATAAAAACCAAGTACATCTTACTTTGGGTGAAATCTGATGACAGACTGAATGCACTTTCCACCACATCGTGGTTCAGCTTTCTTTCTCCTCCACTTTCTTTGACTAGATTACAGGTGATGTTCTTGTGGCTATGGGAACCCCACAGCCCTAGACCTGCCCTCCTATCTCACTGGAGAAACTGGCCTGTCCCCTTCCCAGCAGCTCCCATGTCCTTCTGAAAGGCTGCTTGGGAACCATCCTTGGGATAGGGGAGCTGTTGTTCAGGCTTTGGCTCATGTTGCTGCTGCCCTCAGCAGAAATGAGCTCATGGGCGGCTCTGCCAAGGGCAGCTTCCCTGCGGATCCTGAGGGATTATGGAGCACCAAATAGAAGTGAGCAAAAGATTTTTCTCTCTGGCACTCCCTGGAGGGGTCTCCCATGTATGCTGTCAGCTGTGTTCCAGATAAGCCCACCTTCAATCTAAAAGTCATTTATTTTGTACCTGCTATATACCAAGCACCGTGTTGATGGCTGATCTTGTGAATGGCTCAATTTCTCCATCTGTAACATGAATGATTTGTTCATTCCACCTCAAATATTCTTTATGATTCTAGGATTCTACCTGCTTCTGTGATTTTTGTCTTCATTTTGATGCCTCCATTTGATGCCAACCAGATGTAGCAAAGGGGCTCACATTGTGTAGACTACAGTGGTTCTCCAATGTGTGATTTTTTACCTCCAGGGAAACATTTGGCTTGTCATAACTTGGAGAGTGTTATCGACATCGAGTTGGGTAGAGGCCAATGTTGCTGCATAACCAACAGTGTACAGAGCAGTTCCTACCCCCACCTACCCACCCTCACCAACAAAGAATCATCCAGCCAGAAATGACAATAGTGCTGAGGTTGAGACATTTTGGCGTAGAGGAAGAGAAATCTCTTGTGGGTCACCCGAAGCCCATTGATCTTTCAACATGTCCTCTGTTTCCATCCTTCACAGTAGTGGAACACTGTTTGTCCTTTCAACAGTCCCCATAGTCTTTGTGACCCTTGTAATGGCATCAGGGAAGGCTGGGGAGGGTATAAGAGAATGAGCATAATGCATCAGCTCTGGGACCATTTCCAGCAGGGTCCAAATGGAACTGACTGTTTCTGCTTCCACTTTAGGTTCTGGCTGGCTGTCCAAGATCTCAAGAAACAACCCCTACAGGATGTGGCCAAGAGGGTGGAAGAAATATGGCAAGAGTTTTTAGCCCCGGGGGCCCCAAGTGCAATCAACCTGGATTCTCACAGCTATGAGATAACCAGTCAAAATGTCAGAGATGGAGGGAGATACACATTTGAAGATGCCCAGGTTTGGTTATCCACGCAAATGGTTAGGCTGTAAAGTGTTCCTTTGTCCACTTCACCATTCAATCCCATAACACAAGTCCAAGGCATGATGAGTAGTTAGAATTTCAGATTTTATTATTTATAAATCTATTAACAGAAACTATTCCAGATAGCTGCACAGTGGAGCTCCAATGTGGTTTTCCTAGATTAGTTAGTATTATTGCACAGTAACAGAAATTTGTAGTCACAGGTGATCCTATGTCCTGATAAACCCATCATAAGTTTAAATATCATCTGTTGCAAATGTATTTAATACACCTAGCAAACCTTAGCACACACAGTACACTGTAGAGTACCACTTGTTTCCTTTCCTGAGAATCTGGCTGACGATAAGCTACAGCTCACTACTGCCCAGCATCTCCAGAGAAGATCACCCTGTATATTACTAACCCAGGAAAAGATTCAAATTTGAAGTACAGCTACTTTATGTACCACTGTAACGTAAAAGAAATCATAAGTTGAAACACCATAAGTTGAAGACTGTACATGATTTATCTTTTCCAGGGAAATCTCAAACTGTCTTACAAAACCTGAAGTCTTGTGATAGGTCAGTAGTAGACTCTGGAAACCATAATCCAGCATTAGTGGGTAGAGTGAGCTGGCAGGGCCACAAGTCAATCCCACATCTGTATCACTATGATGTCCACATTTATAACCACCTCTCTGCACTGCTTCCTTAGTGATTCCAACTATGTGCTTAGTATTTTTTGAGTACTTCTGTATTCCAGGCCCTGGGCTACGTGATGGAACACCATAGGGAGCAAAGTCCTTGTCCTCAACAGGTTATGGGCTAGTATAACAGACAAGTAACAGGCAATTTCAACAGTGTGAGAAGGGCCCCAAGTAAGTGAACTCCAGGGTTAAAGCAAGCCCACAGGAGGGACTCCTAGCCCTGCAGTGCACAGTTAGGACATTCACAGATGCTTATTGGGCTCGCAAAACAACAGAAGCCACAGAAGCTACCCAAACAGCAGGCTTCCTCTTGATGCCTGGGAGGCGCTATTTCTAAAGATAGGCATCAGAGCAGTTTCTTATTTCCTGTCCCCTAATTTTCAGTTCTTCCCACCGTCCCACACTCTGTGACAGGGTGTTACAGTTTGACCCAGCTCTTTACTTCTCTCACCTGTAGACTCCTCAGTAACCAATGTGGGTGGTTTTCTCTCCCACAGACATTATTATCTAATTTTGAAAACTTCCTGTATCCATGCCAATGCAACAATGAAATGAAAGACATAACCAGTGTCCCTTGTCATTTGCACAACACTTCAGAATGGAAATGCTTACCACCCTGACGCCTTCCCTATCTTTTCTCTCCCTGATTATGGACTCCATGCAAGGCCTGTGCTGGGCAGATTCTGTTCTGTAGAGCTCGGTCTCTGCCTTAGGAAATAACAAACACACCTCAATACATAATGGTGTGGTTTTTCTGATATATTTTCATATCTGAACGTGCATATGCTCCAAAGCACCATATTGACATGGCCCCTGAGTTGATGGGGAAGCTCCATTCTGGGTGGATGATTTGAAATATAAAGCTCAACTCTCCATCACTCATGAGTCACCAGAAAAGAAATGCTGGTCAGAACCATGATGCCCCCAGCCAGCATTATTGCTCAGAACATAACATCATGGGACATTTGTTTTAATTTTTTATTATGGGAACTTTTAAACACATGGAAAAATGGAAAGAGAAAAATCACAAACTTTTATGGGCCCTCACCCAGCCTCAACTATCATCAGGACATAACTGATCTCCTTTTATCTGCATCCCCATCAAGCTTTTCACTTGCCACTGGGTTATGAGACTGGCCCTTTGTTCTTACAACACCATTATCACAATTTAACAACAATCTCTTAATGACATCAAATGTCAAACAAATGTTCAAACTTATAGCAGTTCCACACATGCCTTTTTAAATATCTTTATTTAAAATCAGAATCCAAGTAAGTTGCACACATTGCAGTCAATTGACATTTAAGTGTTCTTTAATATACAGTTCCCTTCATCTTTCATTGCTTTCCTCTTCCCCATGCAATATATTTGGGAAAGAATTGGATCCTTTATCCTGAAAAGATTTCCACAGTCTGGATTTTTATGATTACAGCTCTATGGTGCTATTTAACATGTTCTTATATCACCAGTATTTCTTATACATTGTTTGCTTGGCTTAGATGTTTAATCAGATTTAGGTTTGATTTTTGAGGCCAAAACTACTTCATGGATCTTGTTGTGCTTCTTTTCAGAAGGTATGTGACATCTAGCTGTCTCTTTTTGTGATGTTGGCAACAGTTGATGTTTATTGCTTAGATCCATTAGTTAATTAAGGGCTACAGAATGGTGATGTTCTTGTTTATTATTCTCTCTTCATTTATTAGATGGAATACTTCCAATAAAGAGAAACTTCTCTCAGCTACTATTTCATTAGCTAGTACTACAATTCATAGAAATAAGATGCATAAATTTTTATTCTTTTCCTTTATAGTATTTGCTAGTTTTCAGCATAATGAGTGATTTACTATCATCTTCCTGACAGTTTGTTTTTTAAGTATATTTGTAAACTCATGAACTTAAACCTATTTGATGTGTTTTAATCTCTTTTACTTATTATATATATATTGATGCTTGGATAGTACTATCTCTGCCAGCTGATTCCTTCTGAATGACTCTAGTAGTCTTTGATGCTATCCAAACAGCAAGGAAAGTAAGATGTTCGGGTTCTGCCCAAGACCTTCAAGACGCCATTTTTGAAAGAACACTTGGCTCCTCTTAGTAGTTAATGGTTTTAAGAAACTACAATCTGAATACTTAGGAGTGCTCATTTTTCTTGGGTTATTCATCATTTTCAGTGAACAGATTTAGGAAATATAGTGTTGTTGTCTATAATAAAAGTACAGTGTGAGTTAATAGCGATGTTTTCAATTCAAATTCAGAACTACAAAGGATTTTATTTAACCTCTTCTTTCTTATATCTGTGCTTCCTTTATGCTAAGAATCTGGTTCTCAAGGACACCAAGGATTATAACATAATTACTAATTTTCTTTCCTATCCATTGCACAGAGCAGTCTGAACACCACAATGGTAATACTGGAACAAAAATGTGATTATTGGCTGATTCTTTAACTGTTGCATAGTATTCTATTGTGTAAAGGCTCCATAGTTTAGTCAACCAGTCCTCCCTTCTTGAACATTTATATTGTTCTTAATTCAAGGAAGGTTTGATGAGAGAATACAAAAAGTTAGCACATTGTGCCAAGGTTAGCACATTGACATGGTTTGGAATACCCAGCCTTCATTAGGCTGCAATTTTTTCAGGTGCCTTCATGTACATTATAGCCCATTTGCACAGAAATCTTGTAAGGTATATTAGACTTGAAGATCTACATAGACGTATCTTCCTCATCGTTTGTTAGGGTTAGTCTCCCATGAATTCAGGTAGAACACTCTTCCTAAACCAATTCCTATTTTCATCCTGTTCACTACTGCTGCTTAAGTATGTTTCCACCATAAATATACAAAGTGCTTCTTACTAGCAGAGTGACCTTGGGCAAGTTATTGAAACCCCCTGAGTCTTCCTTTCCTCCTCTGTAGAACAGAGATACAGTGGAACCTATGCATGGGTGCAAAAGGACCATGTGAAATGAAGCATGTCAACAACAATGACTGGCCCACAGAAAAAAAGGGAAAATATTTCCTATTTTATTTCCCTAATGTCAGTTATATTCTTTTTATTCTTTTATGTTTAACATGTTTGATGAAACATTGAAATAATTTCATGTATTATTTGCACCCATGATCACCCCTGCTCTGGTATACAGATATTTCTTGACTTACGGTGGGGTTATGTCCCAATAAACTCATGGTAAGTTGAAAATATTGTAAATTAAAAATACATTTACTACATGTAACCTACCAAACATCACAGCTTAACAACACAGAATGATGCAGAGTATCAGTCCTTTCCTTTCATGATTGAGAACCTGAGTTGGAAATGTGGTTTGCTTTTGCTGCTCAGTCTAACAAGAGAGTACTGTACCATGAGTGGCTAGCCTGGAAAAAGACTAAAATCCAAAGTTCAAAGGATAGTTTCTACTGAATGCATATAGCTTTTAGACCACCATAAGGTCAAAAAATTGTAAATTGAACTATCCATTATAAGTTAAAGGCCATTTGTATTTTCTTCCTCGATTTGTGTGTATAGGTATGTGTTAGTTTTGCTCATGCTGCTATAACAAAGTACCACAGACCAGGTGGTGTAAAAGACAAACGTTCATTTATCACGGTTCCACAGGCTAGGAAATCCAAGAGTAAGTAAGGTGTCAGCATGTTCAGTTCCTGGAAAGGGTCCTCTTCCTGGCTTATAGGTGGCCATCTTCTTGCTGTGCCCTTTCGTGGCAGGAAAGAGTACTCTGTCTTCCTCTTTTTAAAACCATCATGACCTCATCTAAGCTTCATCACCTCCAAAACCATCATGCTGGGGGTTAGGCCTTCAGCAGTGTGAATTTGGGGGACACAATAGTCCATAACAGTGTGATTATACAAATAAAGTGGTTCTGCCTTTTACATTAAACCAGGGGGCAGTTATGAAGTTAAATTTTATCTATGAAGGGACAGATAGTATAAATTGTAGGCTTTTTGAGTCATATGATTTGTGTTACAACTATTGGATCCTGCCAAACCAAAACAGCTAAAATGTAAACAACATACAAGGTGTGATCAAAATATGTGGTAAATGTTTAAAATTTTAAAAATTCATCACAGTAAAAGACACATTGCCGTTAATCCCCTTCAAAACACTCCCCCTCACTTTGAACACACTTATCCCATTATTTGTGCCACTTTTTGAAGCTGTTCTGGAAGTCCCCTTTTGTGAATGTCTTTACAAGGTATGTTAAAAAATACAGTGAATGCTACTGCCAAGTGCCATCCAGCAGGCTTGTAAGAATATTACAGTGTGTCCTCA